ACTAGCAAAAATCGTGTTTTTCAAGTTTTTACTTTCTTACATTTTTTTTATTACCATCAAGTATTCAGTTATTAAAGTGTGTACATTATTAAACATTTAAACATTTAAATAAGTACACACTTTAGTGCATTTTGTTTAAAAGAGAGCCTCAAAAGTAGTGAGCAAATGCGCTTACAATAATCGTGTCACTTTTAAGTTTTTATTTTTTTACTCCAATTTTTTGTTATTAAACTACCAAGTATTTTACCAAAATACAATCCTGATTAAATGCACAAATTTTTGATGAAACTTGCTTTAGAACATTTTTTTTAAATAAAAGTCTCTTAAAGTCGACCCATTATAAATTAAATTTATAGTTAACAAAAAGTCTTGATTCTTGAAAACTTGAAGCAATTGTGTCATTATTTTTGACTGTGGTCCTAGAAATGTTATTTAAGGTTATGGATCCAAAGTTTAATTAAATAATATTATTAAAAATTAACCACAATAACAAAAATTGGTAACATTTACACCAAAGCTCTAGGTTGCAATTAAAAGCTCATAATTTTCAACTGCAGGGAATAATTTTATTTATAACTTTTTTCTTGACGTTTGAGTTCTGGACACCCTGTATTGTAAATATTGATTAATAATAATTATAATAAATAAGATTTAAATTTACAAATATATTATTCCCGCAACAGTTGCACACGAAGAAAATCACTATAAAAATCACATATTGATATAAAAACATTTTGTTTTACACAAATAATTTAATTTATTTTAAAAACACTAAAATATATTAAAATAACACATATAACATATAATATTTGATATAAATGAATAAATAAATCAATATAAGTATAAAATATATTTACTATCTGTTATAAGAGCAAAAGAGAGACTAAGACCAAAAGTAGATTCTATAAAAATGTCAGAAAGATGTCTAAAAAAATTAATGAATTAAATAATTAAATTAAATTTGATTTAATAAAAGACAGGTCCGTATGAGTGCAAATTTTGATGAATATTACAAATTTAATTTATTATATTTAACTGTATTAAAATCAATAACAATAACGTTCCTTCATTGCATAAAAAACGCAAGTCCCATCCAGTTGAATAATAAAGTTCCAGAATTAATTGCGAAGAAACGGCTCCCCTGATCTCTACCAAAAAATAATCAGCCTAAGTCCCAACTGATATCTTCGAACAGTTTTTGAATTTTCAAAATCGGTTTAAGAATTTTGGCAAAAACCCTTAACGCAAGTTTTGCACTTATAAAGAAAAACTGAGACATTTTTCATAGTGCAAAACTTATGTTTATATAATATAAATACATATGTATATATATATATATATATATATATATATATATATATATAATATTTTTGAATATTATTTTTACTATTTTACTTGTAATGTATAAGGATGTTATCAGGAAAAACCAAAGTCCTTTTATCCCTTCGAAAATTTTTCCGCAAAATCCGATTTTCCACAATTCGTCCCTGATATGAATAGAAAGAAAAAAACCGAAACGAGTCAACATACTTTGTGAATGAAACTAAATTAAAAATAAATAATTTATTTATTAGACTTTGTCATTGTCATTGTCGTTATTATTATTTAAATATTACAACAAAGACGTTTGTTTATATATGTAACTTGTGGTGTTACATATAATTTGCATGGAGTTATTAATTGCAATTTTGACAAAGATTCTTCAACAGTAAAATAAATAATAGTAAAAATTGGTAGAATACTAGCTATTATATTCATTAGTACAATAATAACAATTTTTGTTAATAATATAAAGAAATTATTCACATTTTGATTTTTTTGTATTTTGGTACTCTTATGTATTAAATTTTCGACGCCTTCGGATTAAATTTTGATATTTTAAAATATAAAATTTTAATAATTAAAATTCAGATACTAGATTCAAAATCTTGATATAATTTTAGATACTGAAATTTTAAAATC